ACCCGAAAGCCTACATGTTTAAAGCACTGCTGGGAACAAAAGATGCTGTTGGTTGTGGTGCGTTGGGGATGGCGGTGGTCTAGAAGCTCCGCAGTTCAGAGGCATCGGGAATCTCTTTGCGAATCCTGTAGGGGGGTGTAGAGTCTAGGCGGTTTAGCGTTCAAGGTTTAGAGTGTAGGGGTTTCGGATTTGGTGTCCTTGCTGAGGGTTTGGGGGTTTTTAGAATTTTTAGGGGGAGTTCAGGGTTCTGTAGACGGTCGCGCTTGGATGGCTTTGGGATTTTTGTTTTGGGGGATTTCAGGCGTCGGGTCCCGGTTTTGGTTTTCCCACCTCCGCCTTCAGTGGTCTCTTTGGGGTCCGCAAAAAAGGGACCCTTAAGCGCAGCATTCCAGGGCATTAGGATTAGGGCTCAGAACTGAGCCTCTGTCGACTTTTTGGTGTCACCTGTGGGCCTCGCGGGTCGAACTGTGTCGCATCCCGGCAAACCGTGAACGCTGAAGCCCACACCCTAAGCCCCAAAGCCTAAGCCCCAAACCCTAAACCCCTAAAGCCCTAAAGCCCCCAAAGCCTAAACCCCCAAAGCCCTAAACCCTAAAGCCCCAAAACCCTAAAGCCCCTAAACCCCTAAGCCCCTAAACCCCTAAGCCCCCAAACCCCTAAGCCCCCAAACCCCTAAACCCCCAAAGCCCAAATTCTCTTGGGAGCCTTCGAGCCGATCAGCTGTTCCCCCTCCCGACCTACTTGCAGCAAGGCCTTCTTCGGCGGTGCCAGAAGCAGGCAGGATCCCCCCCCCGTTGCGCGCTGGCAGTTGGGCTTCTTTTGGGGGATGAAACAGGCGGTTTTTGGAGCATGTTCTTGCTTCGGGGCCTTTTTTTGGATGAAACAAGAGTTTTTGAAGCATGAGGGTTTACCTGCTTTGGGGTCCTTGCGCTCCTATTTTGCTCCTTGACCAAGCCCCTCTAAATAAAAATTACACCTTCAAACCTTGGGCCGAGGAAGGCTGTGACACTTCGGGCTTTGACGTCTTTTGGGGTTTGGGCTGCGGCATGTGGTTGCACCTGTTTTGCGCGTCGGGCTTTGGGAGGGTTCAAGAGCAGGTCTACATAGGGCCTTTTTTGTAGGGCTGTTGGATTTTTGAAATGAGTCTAGGATTGTTTTGGGGTGCAAGGCTGCAGGTTTCCTGTGTAATGTAGGGGCTATGGAAGAATAGACGGGGATTCTAGAGCTGTGTAGGGATGACGAGGACCTCTGTCTACTTCTAGAACTCCGGAGTCTTGCACGTTCCGTTTGCCTCTACCCTGTGCAACACAGACTGAGCCCTTCTGTGTTTAGCAGTTTATTCCTGCTGCTGCGGACCGTCGTGCTTGATATCTGGAGCGACACAGCCCTAAACCCTGAATCGTCAGAGCCCTAAGCCCAACACAGGCACGAGGAGCCCTCAAAGAGCGTGACATCATCACTCGCTCCAGCAGTCGTTACCGTCGAAATCCTCTCAGGCTGAACCCTAAAACCTCGAAGGCCTATCTCCTTCAGCCATACATCGCCTTCTACTGGGGAGCTTCAAGGCGTAAATCCTTCAACCACGAAGTGCTGCCGCTCCCAAGTAGCGATTTTTTTCGGGATAAGTTGACCTATACACCCTAACCCCCAAAATCTCTAAACCCCTAAATCCCTAACCCCTAACTGCCCTAAACCCCTAAATCCCTAAGCTGCTAAATCCCTAAACCCTAAACCCCAAAATGCCTAAACCCCTAAAGCCACTAAATCCCGAAACCCTTGAGGCTTCTGAGTTTGAGAGTCGTCAGCTTGGAGCTGAAGCTGTCGGTGAGGGTTTTGGGTTTTGGGGTTCAGGGTCCATTTAGGGCTTAGGGTTTAGGGGTTTAGGGTTTAGGGGTTTAGGGTTAAGGGGGTTTTGGGGTTCAGGGTCCAGGGGTTTTGGGGTTTTAGGGTTGCAGGCTTCAGGGGGTTGTGGGCTTTAGAGTTTACATAATGCAAAAGCCTCAATAACTCACCAACATTGTTCCTTATAGGCTTACACAGTATAGCCCCCACGCCCTGAGTCTGGTAATGAAGGCCACGATCTCAGCGACTGCGGTTTGGGGCTTTTCCGTCCTTGCCAAGTCGAGGCCTCGTGTGCCGCTGCCCCATGCAATCCTGGTCCTCCAGCTCGGGAGGAAGGCGGCGGCGTGGGATTTTGCTCCTGTTCCTACTACCTCCTACTTCTACGGTTGATGATATAAATCCTGCATTACCTCAAATGCCCTAAACTATTAGGACTTATGGTATATTCCTTGTTATGGGTAATGCAGGATTTATATCATCAACAGTACTGCTAAAACTGCCACCACCATCATCAGCTTATCTTCGTCTACTGCTAGTGTTTGTTCGGCCAGTTTGTGAGCGCTCGGCGAGAGATGGATTCCGACACATCATTAGTCCCGACAGCAAGTGCTCGCGAAGCTCTAACATCGGAAAGCTTATGCAGTTGTCAGCTGCACTTACATGCCACGTAGATGCAGGTGTGTCAAGCTTGTCTACGGTCAATTTCCCTTTGGCTTGAAACTGCAGGCATTTGCAGCCGGAGGCCAACAGCATGAGCAACACCAGGAGCAAAACAGAGTTGTTCTTCATGCCCGTGCCCTGCTTGCGCCAACAGCAGGCACGACATGAGCAGTAGCCTTTAGCCGCCGAGACACGAAGCCGAGCTTGCAGCCATGCCGAAATTCTCGCGGTACGCAAGGCTCCGTGCAGCTGACGAGGAGGCTGGCAAGGACCGGCTGCGTGCGCGGCTCGTGTGGTGCCTCGGCCTCCAGCACTTTTTTCTTCTGGGCTTCGAGAACTGTAACCGGCCAGACCCAGTTTCTACTTGTGCAATAGCTTCTTAGCTTCTTTAGGCTTCCAGGGCTACCGTATATGAAAGGGAAGCTGGCGGGAAGGCTGTATAAGCCTTTAAGGCTTCTGAAGGGCCATCTCGGTGAATGTAGGTCCCAGGGAATGTTGTGGGAAAGCTAAGGCTCCTGGTGGTGCTGGAGACGATCTCCTTGCTTTGCTTTCCTCAGGTGGCCACTCTCACTCACGGAGTGTTCTTTCTGATCCCGCTAGGGGCGCTCTTCCTAGCTGCCGCGATCCGTCTTTAGTCCAGGCCTCACATCCTGCTGGCTGAGCCACTTTGCGTCCTTTGGCCTGACAACCATTCACGACATGGCCTGGCGCGCGAGCAGGCGCCCAACCTCTGCTTTGGTGGCTTCGTGTGGGTGTTGAAGCTTGTGTGTTGTGTGACTTTCTGGGCCAATCCCGATGCCAAAAGCTTCCTGGAAGAGGGTTGCCCTGACGCAGTCCCACGCCCGAATTGCAGCCAGTACACACGAGACGATGCTGGCCATAACTTCTGCGTGAACATACATACCCGTCACGAGCCGCCAAATGCCAATCGCAAAGGCCTGTTGGAACCTGAAGGCGGAGCATGCTGGAGTCAGTGCCATGGTTGTGAGTCTGGACATTATGTTCGCAAAGAGACTCAGCACGTTCAGTCTTGTTATGACTCATGTGATTTGTCTTGCTGCCAGTGCTTGCACTGCCACCTATCCTCCACAGTGCCTGCTTGGCTGAAGCAAGGATGCCTTGCTAATGCCTTCGCGCCTGATCTTGCACAGGAGCTATTTGTGTGTACCAAAGGACCCGGATGCGAGATGCCGAATGCACTTCCGTACTATGAAGCGCAGACGCTGAGCTTCGAAAACAGTATGATCGCGCAACTTGCTCGGTGCACCTTAGTCGCCTTAGTCCACGGAGAAGAGTCTACTCAAGTCAAGATTGCGCTGGCTGTAGTCTCAGCGTTGCAGTGCTTGCCTTTAGCCTCTTTGGTGGCCTGCCTTTTGGTCAGCATCTGTGTGCATCTGCTGAAGGGCGGAAGTGTCTCTGCTGTCCCCATGGAGCTTGAGACCATTGAAGCCATAGATGCAAAGGCTGCGGAGTTGCAAGACCAGATTCGGCATAGAAGATTGGAGTCCTCGCCCAAGGTGAAACTCCAGCTTTGGATGGAGTTTGTCGTTTTCCTGCTCGACTACCTTTCGGACTACAACTGCCTCCGAACTTTCGTCGTGGAGGGAGCCTATGTTGTGGCAGCCATGCAGGGTGTCATTATCGCTGCTCCGGTAGCCTTAGACTTCTACCGTGGCAAAATACAGCTAGTCCAAGTATTTGGGGGATTCGTGGAGTCACGGAAGCGCGGCTTTCCTACCGACGACTTCATCCTGGCGCTTCGCTCGGAGAAGAGCCTGGAGGCTGCATTCTCAAAGTTCCCTCGCCCCAAAAGAGAAACCCTTGCACCCAAACCCTAAAACTCTACCCCGAAACCCCTTTGCCCGAAACCAAAGCTAAAGCGGGAAAGAGCCCTGAGGCCCCACTTTCCATGTTCCTGCAGTTCTACACGCTGTTGCGGAGCACACGCCCCTCGTCCATCTGGAGCCTTTGCATCTCCATGCCGCTGAGCATCCTGGGCATTGCAAAGCATGTCCACGCAACCTTCGAGCTTCAGGTTCTGGAGGTGCTGACAAGACATCCAACCCAGCCCAACCAGCCAGAGCTGCAGACCACACCCCTGCAGTCAGGGCACAGCGACACTCCCCAGCACCGACCAGGGCACGAACCTGCAGGTCCATGGAGATCAGGCGACGAAAGCCTTGCAATGCAAGGATCCCCTTGTCCGCCAGATTCCATGCA